GATAAGGCTGAATCCTAGGATTTAATTTTCCAAATTCCCTCTAGATCTTTTTTTTAATTTGGTCATATTTTGTGTTCTGGAATTCATTTTTAAAATAGTTATAAACATGAGGAATGTTTTCTGTTGGGTTTATAGTGTATACTGTTCAGTCACTTTTGTTCAGTGCTCATTTGAACAGTGTACAACAGGTCCCTCAAAATTCCTATAAAGAAGTTCACTTTAAACGGAGTGCTCAATCCAAAGTATTAGACATTTAAACTGCTGAAAGACGTTTAGACATTTTTCCTTTGGGCAATATCCTGTCTTGGGAAAAATGTACATATAACATACAGCAGAAGATGTAGTTGGTCTCCCAAAGGGTGACTTGTTATACAACTGGCTTGTGGATTATTATTATTAAAATTGTTTTGCTATACCTTCAGGCAGATCAATATGCTTGGTGCTTTTCATAATGTTAATACATTTTTTTGTAATTATAAGGATCACCCCCTCCCCTTATCTCAAAGACAGATTAATTTCCTTCTAATCCTATTCATTTGCAGGTTTTGACTTCACACTACCTGAGTGCCCACTCTGCTTTTCTCCTACTCCTGTCTCCTTTCCACTCCCAGCTTTTGTTCTCCCATGCTTTGAGTTGCTGACTTTCCTTTTTCTCACACCTGAAGAAGGCTCCTCAGCCAAAACGTTGAGTTTCTTTTCTTCTCTTTTTAGCATATAATATGCCTTTACTTGTTCCTTTGCTGCCTACGCATGCTGATGCAACTACTGTACCTACTTGAATTAATAAAAATATAAAAAATAAGATATTAGGGAGCCTACCGGTTTTATCATGAGTATGGAACTGTCTGTAAAAATGATGAGTAGACTTCTTGTGGGATATTAATTATGTTTCATGTGATTATTATGATATTACTTACACTTATATAGAGCTTTTATGGACACTCCACTCACAGCGCTTTACTTCCCTGCACCACCACCAATGTGCAGCTCACAATTGATAACTCAAGGTAGAAATGTGGCCAAGACATTGGGGTTAACACTATCATTTCAAGATATTTTGTTTAATGCTTGAAGAGCATAGAATTCTAAAATCTCATTGTTAACTGTCACATTGAATGATATGTCTTGATAATTATTGAAAGGAGGATATTACTTACCTTCCTGTACAGTTGGTTTACTGTATTTTCAAAATACAAAAAAGACCAAGAAACGAGACTGTTTGCCAAACACAGTAACTAATACCTACAAAATGTATTATGTACAGTACATAAAGCCTCTCTAAGAATGACAATAGTGTTTTTTTATATTTTTTAATGATTGAAATGAATTAATTTATTCTGAAACTGTAATTTAATCTCATATGGAACATCATATGGTATGTGTTAAGCACAACATCCCCATTCTGGGCACCTAGGAAAGACACAAAAATCATATTTTAAGTGGCAAGCAAATTGCATGCAGCTGTGTGCTGGTCAAACACTAAAGAAGAGAGTGCTCTGCTTACGTAATGAGGCAACCACACAGAATAATTATGAAACATCAAAAGCAGTCTTCTGCCCTCTGCCATGATATTCCCATAAACGTCCAAAAACCAGAAGATCTAAATAAAACTGGTACTGTCAGCATTTCTCAGGATGGTCAAGTCAAGCTTATGAATAATTCAGTTTAACACTTATATAAAATAATTAAAACATTTTCTCCTCAGGCATCTACTGAACTGTACACTATTTACCATTTTGTTTCTTCCTTCAAGAAACAACTGTATCAGAATCTGGGATCAATTAGCAACTAATTACCACGTGGACAAGGTGGGTCAAATAGTCTTCTCTCATTCGTGCTGTTCTTATGTACTGTAAACCAGTAAAATCTCAAATGCAGCAGATGGACTATACATATTGTATCAAGGACAGAAAGCTGAACAAAATGCAGAGTTTAAAATACTTTTTTTAAGAGTGTCTCCATCCAAATTGGCATTAGCAGTACTCTTGTGATCCTATTGACTCAGGGGCTGGGAACAGAGTGATAAAATTTGGATTTGGCATTTGGTAAAGGAAGGAAAAAAAAGAAATTAAGTTTATTTTAAATTTTATGGGAAAAATGAAAGTATACAGTACACTAAAGCAAATATACAGTAGTGACAAGTTGGTATTAAAGTTCAAGTGTTCAAGTACTAAATTTGGGATGTTCTATGAGTTGTCAGACTTTTATTTTCCCTGAAATGTTCCTCTTTCTCATATGTTGTAGTTTAGTACTGTTATCCAGCTTTGTTTTGGTTGATTTGTTTTCTGTTACATGGTAATAATTTCAACCTCCACGCTTTTCTCACTCAGTAGACACACAAGAACATGGGGTTACAATTACAATAAAACAGAAATTATTTTAGGACAGAAGTTCCTTCTTTACAAGTTATACCAGAAAAAGTCCTGATGCTCTCCTAGACTACTGTATCCCCTCTTGGCTGGCCTCCCTTCTATCCACTCCAACTCACCCAGAATTCTGTCTCATCCTGCTCCTGTCTTCAGTCCCTTATCTCTCCTTGCATTCTTTCAGCCCCTGCTCTTCCACCAGAGTTTATGTACCCCCTGCATTTTCCACTCTTGCTCCCCTGAGGTGGAATGAACTACCTACAGTACCCAGAACCACAATACCTAAACATTTCAGTACCTGCTCAAGTCTTGGCTTTCATTTGCTTTCTTCAGTGCACCTCTGACTCCACGGCTGGCAGTGCAGTTTGCTTGCTGCTCCATTTAACTGTAGACATGGAGTAATTGTCTCCAGGCTGTCTTCAGTTCTACTTGGTGTCCAAGTTGCATACTGCTTAAACTAAATGTTTTATAAATATGGTAATGTTGCTGAATAATCTGACTGGCCTCAACATGTTAAGACAACATTTAAAAAATCAAAATACAAGACAAATAAAAATAAATGCTTCCTTGTCACAAAAATATGAACAAAAGTATGAAAAATGTTACATTTGTGACATTTTAAAACAAATCGGAAAGATACTGTAGCTTTCCGTCTTTAATGTCCTTGACAAAACCTGTAAGCTTTGCAAGTAGTAAGTGTATTGTTCTTGCATTAAATAATTGACACAACGATTTATTTTAATGTTAATTTAATTTATAGTCAGCCATAGGGCATTTACAGTGTACATTTCACTTTTTCTAACAAATGGCTGAAGTTTGAAAAGTTTGAGTGTTTTACATGGGAGCTGTTCTTCAAAGTTCTTATGTTTTCAGAAATTGACAAAGTTATCAGTCAAATTGTTTAGGAGAGAAGCTCGGTAATGTCTCACTGTTTTATTATTGAAACATAAGAAATTTGTATTTGCCCTTAATTATTCAAAACATATTATAACACTCTAGTATAAGACATACTGTACCAGATGAAGATGAACAAAGGCATTACTTTTAACTCTATGCATTAGTGTATATATATAGTAAGTTTTCATGAAAAATAAAGCAATTCCCTCATGCAAAATACAACATGCAGCTACAATAAGTTTTAAGTACATTAATACATAGAATTATAGCTTATATATATATGGAATCCTCATAGAATTCAGCATAAAAAATATTTGTGGTGTGTGTTAACAAAAACAGTGTATAGAAATTAATTTTAAGTTGTAATCAATACTTAATCAAATTTAAATAAACTGTATATCTCTTGACAGCATTAAAGAAATCACACACCTGCATGAGTTTCATTATATCCATTTGTTAGAATAATGCCAGAACATGAACATTTAATGCCTTTCAATTCATCTACATACTCTAACATCTGACATCTACACAGTCTTCATTTTAAGTAATGTGTAGAATAAAGCAAATCAACTATATTTTTACCTCATTTATCACAGAGCTTAATTGGTCAAACCAGGAAGTTCAAACATTTGCAGTTTTGCTGCTTTTGCATGTTTAATCTTTTTTTGTTGTTCAGCAGCTGCTGCAAGATCCATAAATGTTTTTAATTCATTTACAACATATCAGCAGGAAGTATATGGAGCTTTTAATCTGTGCTGCACTGCTCTTGCTTTTTTAAACGCAATTTAAGTATAAGTTCCTTTGCAGTGTGTTTGACTAAGAAAGGAGTGTTTAGAGTTTTAAACTGTGGTAATAAGCGGTGGCTCTGTGGCTAAGGATCTGCGCCTGTGACTGGAAGGTTGCTGGTTCAAATCCCGTGGCCAGCAGAGGAATCCTACTCCGTTGGGCCCCTGAGCAAGGCCCTTAACCCTAACTGCTCCAGGGGCGCCGTACAATGGCAGTCCCTGCTCTCCGACCCCAAGCTTCTCTCCCTGTCTCTGTGTCTGTGTCTCCATGGAGAAAAGCTGGGGTATGTGAAAAGATGCATTCCTAATGCAAGAAATTGTATAGGGCTAATAAAGAAACATTATTAACACTTGCCTGCCATTTACTTAAGAGTTTTCAAGATAAACAGCTAATGTCTAAATGACAAATTTAACATTGAAGAAGTTCAAAACAAAAATGTCAACCATTTAACTAATGGTGTTTACTTGTCCTGTACTTGTACATATTGAACTTGAATATGTATTTACAATGAAGCATTGTAGTGTTTTCTATACAATCAAAGCTCCTTGTAGAATTACAGTATTTCTTACTAATAACTCAGATTTTAGTTAAGCTTCTGATTTAAGGATCTTTATTCAAGACTAAAGAGGATTTGTTTTTTTCAGTTTTGTAATTTTTTGACCACAATTGAATACAACTACAATCTGTTTTGAAGCATAAATTAATTTACATTGTGCTGATAACTATGGGCATATAGAGTATTTACAAGCATATCTTGGTGTGCTTGTTTTCCTTCTGGTACTGTACAAAATCATTACACTTTTCTGATGAAGTATATACATAATATATCTCTTTGTACATAGAATGGTGTACCATTCTATACAGTTAGAACGTATAGTTTTGGAACAAAAAAACAAAGTATAAGACAGAGAGCATAAAATGAGAAGGATAAAATGAGACTGAAAGCAGAGACACTCCTAGCACTGCCGTTTTTATTTACAACTACATGACAATCTGATAGGAAATCCACATATATAGGAATTCAGGATGGAACAAAAAAAACTCATAACATTAGAGGTGTATTTTGCTGGGGTGGATTTGTGCCCACTCTTTAAACAATGCCTGTATAAACAAATTTCTAAGCCTTAATAGCCTCTCAGTTAACCCCCTCAGAGGAAGACTTTGCATTTCTCAGGTTCTCTCAAAGGCAGATAATTGACATGCTTGGCACTTGCTTACTCATTAATTACATCACCTACAGTACAACAAAAGTAGCTTGACTCCCGATGACTTCCAATGTTTCAGCTTTGAGTTTAAGGCTGGGTTTTTACAATCTGAGAAGTAATTACTTTGGTGAATAGGAGCTGTGTTTAGAATTCTCTACTACCTCCGCCTTGGACCACATACAGTAGAAAACGGATTCTGCTAGGATGTGAATTAATAAAACTTAAATACAAAAGAATGAATTGGTGGGAAGTTTCATGATGCAGGCTGGCAGCACTAGTCATTGCTTCTTTCTCTTCAATCCAAAGCATTTTCAATCGTCTTTAAATCCCACACATGCTGGTTTAATACTTGGATTATCTGAGGCCATCAGTAATGAGTGTTTCCGCATTTTTTAACTACTGATCTTGGTGAGCATTTTATTAATGGCCTGCTTAACGTGAGTGGTAGAGCTCCGTCTCCTGGTCTTACCCTGGACCATCTTGCGGCGCCGTACCTCCCTACAGAGCTCATAAAAGGCCTCTGCAATACAGCCTTCTCCAGTGCAGGCAGAGCACTCATAGAAAGCGCAGGCCATCTCTGTAGCTAGCTTCTCCCCTTCCTCAGTGCTCACCTGCCTTGAGTGCTCCAGGTCAGCCTTGTTGCCCACCAAAATTAAAGTCACATTCTTGGGTTTCCTGATCTCATCAAGGAGGTTCTTGAGAAGCACCACCTCATCAAAGCTGCCTCGGTCTGTGATGTCATAGACAATGACAAACCCATCGCCCCAACGCATGTGCCCCTCTTTCTGCTGCGTGTCCTCCTGAAACACACATTTGCTTCTCAGTAACTATGAAACATTGCTACTTTTTGCAATTTGTGTACTTTTGTGAAAGTAAAATTAGAAGTAAATAAACTAAATACACAGTAAAAACCAAATAATGTCTTCTGCATTTTTCAGACATGTAGTTATTCCAGAAGCAGAGACATTAATAACATATAGCAGAGTAGCAGAAAAATGTTGAATTAGCTAGCAATAGTGTAGTTTTTAAGGTTTTAAAAAATTATTAACCTACTGTAATTTTTTTTTTAATAAGGTTAAACCCCAGTTAAATGAACTAATGGGACAGGCCTAAAAGTAATTTTTGGTAAGGTCAGGATTTTAGCACCATATTATTTTAATAGTCCATTATGCACCATTGGAGTACAATCATTGGTATTATATTAAAGCAAAGATTTTTCTTAAGTAAAAGTTCAAAACGAACAGAGAGCTCAGTGGAATGCATGAGTTGTTGGCTCACTTAATTTCAAATGTGGTAATTTCCAGATTTAGAATTTAAAGTACAGTAAACAGGCAACAATTTGGATGGAAATGCACACATACAATACATTTCCCCATATAATTCACTGGCTTCTTAGTATGCAAACACATTTCTTATAACTGTGAAGGTATGAAAATAATGTTCCTTAGCTAGATGTTCTTACTATTGCAATTCAAATTAATAATAAGGTATTGTCACATCATACTGACACATCAGGCCAGGGACATGTACTGTATATCATATCATATAAAAAATTATTTAATCAACATTAAAAACAATAACAATTAAATGGAGTAAAAAAGCAAACTCATTTTATAAACCAAGTCTATTAGTTTCAGTCAATATTCACACAAAGTATCAGAAGTATACATGTAGAAAAAAATAAAATGTTCTTAATAGTAGCAATACTGTATTTGAAAAGAGTTCAAGAGAAGAAGAGCTGAGTACTCAGTGGCAGAGACAGAGAGATGGACCACGCTTTTCAGTGGAGCTATCAAATGTGATTTGGAATAAACCACAACACGAATACCAGAGACACAAAACTGCTAGTTCATCAGAGCAATAACCTTAATATACTGTATAGCCAGGAGAGCAATCACCTCAGAATCAATAAAAACTCAAGTGAGGGCTCTCTAGCACAGGTGGACCAGGACTACCTCCTGTTAAATTAACATTTTTCATGTTTACTTACTGTAAAATTCATTAAACACTGTATATGGACGGTCTTTTATTTGAGTGTCTTATCAGAATTCAATAAGGCTCAATTTGCTCTATGTGTTTGCATTTTACCACTTTACAGACATTTGATATGATGTGTAGATCATAAGGATGAGACAGCACCTTTCTAAGGAGTTAGAACTCACCTGGCCAGCAGTGTCTAATATTTCCATGCTTACAACTTCATCGTCAATATTTGCTTGATGTCGATATGTTGACTCTTAAAATACAGAAAAAAGGCACAAATGTTAAAACTAATTTCTTTGTTCACAAGACAGGTGTGCAATTTACAGACAGTTTTGCATGACTACAAATAAAGATCTTAATACAATACAAAATTCCAACAGATCACAATTCAGCAACTAGGCTGTCTCCTGTTTTATTGTCAGAAATAGAAACAAGCTCTGGGTCACAATAACTTTGACCTACATTATTGAAATGCCAGATTTGCCTTTGAAGCAGAATTTGCACATGTATGTAATGGCTTTTACTTTAAAGAGTAACTCTGCAGGCACAGGGTACAAGTCAGGTATACATTCTGGATGGGATACCAATCTGTCATAAGACACACACATGCAAGGGGCAATACAGTGAAACTAATGAAGCTGCACAGCATGTCTTTCGACTCGGGTTATAACCAGACTACAGGGGAAAAAATCCTGACAAATTCATGAAAGACATGCAGACTCAATACCAAGAATCCAGGAGCTACAGTATAATGCCACAGCTGAGCCCACAGTTATCTCTTAATGTCAAAATACTGGAGGAAAGAGCTAGTGAAGAATAAATAACAATATCTTAAAATTGTGATCACCATCTTTGGCTTCTTAGCATTTTATCTTTATTTTACATATGTGTATAAAGAAAGTATGCACTACAATATTGATTTTAATATTCTTATGAAATATTTAGAAATCTTAGTATTTCTGTTCATTGGATATTAACAAACAAAGTTTATCTTAATTGAGATTTCTTAAGTTTCTGTTGAGAGCTGTTCTAAATGACTTATAATAGTCCACTTGAACAGGTTGCCAAAATCACTTTTCTTTTGAATGACTTGTTGAATCACTGATGTTACAGTATGTTCAGTTTACCAAAACACTGATATGTAAATAATACATTTTAGTTTACATTATACCACACACCTTTTAGAAATAGTGGAGATATTACATAGCATAGTAAATTACTAAATATCTTGTACTAATAATATTACAGTTGGTGATGCCAATAAACATGGATAACAGAAGAGTAAAACAACCACTGATTTAAGGTAAAATATAAAAATGTACAGTATATAAAAAATTGAATTTAATTAAATTCTATATTTGACTATTATAGCTCACTTTGTGCAACATTGCATAATTTAAAATGGTTAAATAGTTATTAATAATATTAATAATATTAGTACTAATTGTATAAAGAGTACTGAAATCAATAGCATTTATAACATTTTCAATGTTTCCCTCACAATAAATATGTAAATTAAATGCACTTTTTAAGTTAAAGGTGTGTTTGTGAAGGAATGAGAACTTAGTGGCTTCACTGTACTTTTACATTCTTTTTACAAGTTTACATTCATCTCTGGACACCTGTAGAAGACGAAAGCAAACCGATCTAATCACCATTGTGGAGTTGCCAAGACATGTCTACAGGAAAACATGTTTCCTGGAACAACATCTGATTTGAAAGACAGATGAAAAGAAAGACTGGGGATCAATCTTAGGTGTGATGCTTTGTGGTGCTTTGTTTTCAATATTTATTGCTTGCCTTTAAAAGCTGTAATTGACTGAGATTAAGGTACACAGTATATACAGTACAGGTATCTAACATACGTAACAATGTCTATTAACAGCAAAAAGAAGGTTATGTATTCTTGCAACACATTTAAACAAGATGTTTTTAGCACCTATTTGATAAGATATAAACAGTTGTGTAGAAATTACATGTTAAAATGATATTCCAGATTTTAACAGCCTAATCCTGGTATATAGTTGATTTAGTGTGTGCCATTTAAAAACGTATTTGCTTCAACCTGCTTGGTAATATGGATGAGATCAGAATCCAGCCTGCAATAAGGTAGGTAGCTGCTACAAGACTTGATGGGTTGCTGGAAATAATACAACTTAATTTGTGAGTGCTTTTTAAGTAACTTGAAGTGGTGTGCTATAGAGCATACAGATGCAGCCATTCAAAGTGCGCGGTACGGACACGTACCGGAGGTAATTGCCTACGGCCTTGCGCATTGTGACGCACGGTGACGCGCGGTACTGCGGTACGTGATTGGTTGACCGACAGGGGTCTGTCGTAGAAAGATTTACAGTAAATGTCTTTACTGTGCCCGTTTTAGTATTGAATATTTA